GGCAGGCAGCAGAGGTTGATGCTGGGGCACCCGTGGGTGTCAGCCTGTGGGTATCTTTGGCCTCCCAGCACCAAGGTGGGTGCTTCTCTCCCTAGGGCTCCTGCTTCTGCTGGAGGTGACTTGACAGAAGGAGAAAGGTTTGGGGCAGGGCCTGCACACCTGCTTCTGCTGAGCTGCAGGAAGAGCTTTTAACAGAAAAAAAAAAGGTTTAATTTGTTGGTTTATTTAAAAAATTGGTCTGTTTGTACTGTTTATCTTTTGCTAGGCAAGAAATAACAATCCCATTGTGGCATGCATAGATCTGCAAAGATTTGTGTGTGAAATCAAGTCCTGTATAACTCTGGTTAGTCTGTTTGTATGTGGCAGTAGTTTAAAGAATTATCTGCAGTTTAAAAACTGGTCTGTTTGTGTCTGAGGTAGGCCAACCTTATAAACAGTCCACTTGTTTGTGGCTAACTTAAGGAAGATTCTATTTCCAATTTTCTGTTTAGAAATTGTATAAAAATAAAATAGCTTCACTGTAACTAAAGGCAATAGCTGCAATAAGGAAGTGGTGGTGTTTGCTTTGCCTTCCACTGAATAAGGTGGTTGATGAATTGTAGTACTTTGGTTCACCATCTATTATGTCTCTGCCCATTTGTGTACCTTGCTGATTCTTAGCTCTGCCCTTCAGAGTCATCAGAATGAAAGACACTGTATGGTGGATTGCATGCATAGCCTCTGTTTTTGAAGGAGAGCATCAGCATCTCTCAGCTTGAGAGCCTGTGCTTCCTGCCTTCAGCTGCTCTTGGTAACTGCTCACATCAGTTGGATTTCTAGGGCTCCAGCAATGATCCAGAGTATCCACACATCCTGTTCTCATGAGACTGTCCTGGAGACAGTGGAAGAAATTCTGGAGGCTGCCCCTTTTCCTGGCTGCAAGCTGTGGCAGAAACTCTTGATGACAGTTGCTTTCCCCTCCAGCCCCCCAGTAGTCCTTCTGCCAGAAGGATGAGGCAGCCTGGATTCCTGGCTGTGGTGACCCACGGTATCATCTTGCCAGCTACTGTCTGTCTTCAAAAACTGGTGCAATGGCCTCTTTTTTTAGTTGTTAGTGACAAGTAAATTGCTGTTATTATAGCTGGAGTCTCGGTAAGTTGCATTATTGAGATTTGTAGCTAGAGTCCATGTAGGATTAATTATCAGAGCCACAATTAGCTAAGGATTTCTGTTTTGCTTGTCAGTGTTGGTGAACCATTACTTCAGCAATTTTTTCCAGTGACCAGTCAGTAACTTACAGTTGTTGATATTCTATATTGAGTATGTTTTCTTTGTTTATTTTTATAAGGATTCTGAGTGGTTGACTTTTTAGTTATTTTTTTTAAGTTTTGGGGTTTTATTTAAATTCTTTTGCTTTCAGCAGTGTCTAAAATAGGTCTTGCAGTTTTTCAGGCTTGAAATGTGAGTTTGCTTGTCACCTCATCGTTCCAGTCTTTTTCCTGTTTTCAGTTCCTTGCAGTTTTGCATGAGGATCAGAAATATAACCTTTACTTAAAATATGCTTTCAGGAGCTTTAATTAAGTTGGCTTTGGCAGATAAGTTCTTGTTCATCTTTATCTGCTTCCTTTTGTGTGAGCTGTTCTCAGCTGTCACAAAGATGCTCAGGTGTCTGCTGACAGTACTTTTAATCTTATAGTATTGAGCCTTCATCTTTTGAAGGACAGTGGAAGGACAAGGCTGATAGCTGAAGACTTTGTCTTTGTGTAAACTTGAGGATCACCTCATAACCTTACCACCCACTCGATTCCAGATCCAAGGGTAAACAGACTGGTAGCTTCTTCCTTCCTTGAGACATCTACTGTTAGAGCTGGAAGTGCTGGGTTCTTCTGATTAATGACAAGGGCAGGCTGGCTTTTGGGAAGTATGAAGAGTTCAGTGCAGACGAGAAAGCTTGTTTGAAGCTGTTTTCCAGCCTAGTTCAGCGCAGATGGAGACAGGTTTAGTGCTGTAACACTGCTGAAGTTCATGATGTGAATGCTGCACTCCTGAGTGAGAGAAATAAAATTACTAATTTTTAGTATATCTGAGAGCAGGAGTACTTGGGCACACTGGTGGAAAGGAAGTAGGTTCAGGTGGCGAGTGCCTTGGGGGAGCTGGGGAAAGTTTGGTGACCAACAGCAGTGGTGCTAACAACACTTCTTGGAGCAGGCTTTGGGCTAGCAGCAGTGGCAGGCTGTCTCAGCATCCTTGTAGCAGTCACCTCTGCACAGCCTGGTGACTTGAACAGTGGCTTGTGGTGGCTCGTGGGGTGCTGTGCAGAGCTGGGGAAACTGGGGCAGGCCTCCATCCTACCCACCCACGTCTGCTGCCAAGAAAGAGGGGCTGGTGGCGGTTGTGCCGTCAGGAAAGAGCTGTGATGGATTCTGAATATTCCAGTTTCCATACATTGTGCATGCAAGCAGTGACCAAATCCAGGCCTAGTTCTGTCCTGGCATAGTCCCGAAGGTTACCTAGATGTTGATATCAGTACTGTAAGTGCATGTCATTAGCTCCTCTGCTGTGATATTTGTGCCCTGGGCAGTGGTTCCTATTTCTTGCTGTCCAGACAATTGGCTGATTGTTGTGGTTGATGCAGTTGCTCTATCGTCTGATGCCTCCTGCCCACTTGGGGAAGGGAAGTCAGGAAAAGGAAAGGAGGTTCATGGGTTGAAATAGATATAGATTTAATAAAATATTAATAGCAAACTCTAATATTATAATAGTTATAAAGTACACGGAGTTATACTCAGACAATATTGTGGGGGTGTAGGCCTCAAGGGTAGGACAGTAAACAAATCCCTCTTGAGATGTCAGCCATGGAGGAGGGAAGAAGAAGGAAGAAGGGCCATCCCCATAAAACTCCCCAATTTGTAGTGAATGTGAGGTTTATGGTATTGAATAGTAATATTTGGTCAGCCTGTGGTCAATTCCAATGGGTCTCTGCATTCCCCAGCCTCTGTACCTGTTTATCTCAAGACTGCTGAAGACCTTGTGCATCACATACCAGCATTAGCTGAAACCAATAACAAAGTCTTATAACTTTGCTCTCATTAAATAGTGTTGTAGTCCTTAAAAAATTGCAGTTTTCCTCAAAAGAAAACTGACTGTAAAATTCTATCCTAGTAAACCAGGACACTGATGAAAGACAAAACAGTGGAAATGGTTCGGGGGTTAATGTGGAACCATTAGGCCCTGGTTGCCTTTATTTAATTGATACTGCAAGGAGTCTGGCTGGCTGTGCCAGTGAATGGCTTAGAGTAGCTAAAATTGTGGGAGCTGCTATTCCAGTTCAAGGCTAGGATTTGTTGAGCATGGGTCTGCTTTCCTCTGTAAATGCCTGATTAATGCCTCTAAACTTGTTGAGAACAAAACAAGTTGGGCAAAAGTATTTCTGGTTCCTTTAGTGAAGAAAATAGGCTGTTAAAGAATTTTTAAAGACTCTTATATCTTAGAACAGCTTAGCATGTTAATCCTATTTCTTATCTGTTTTTGGCAGTACTTACAGCAGCAAGGTGTTCCGTGTTACCTTCTTGACTTTGGCTGCATCTGTAACTGTGCCCCTGCTTGGAGTAACTGTTCTCTTGGATTGTCCTATAGACCCTCAGCCTATAAGGTAAATCGTTGCTTTGTTTTGAAATAAATGTTATTGAAGCATAGCTTCTTGCATGTGTTCTGTTGTTTTGGGGTTTTTTTTCAGCACACGAGTGAACTGTGTAAAGTGGTTCTAACTGGATTAAGGATTTGGGGAGTATTATCCATTGCCATGGATTGCTTCATATAGTCAGTCTGTTTCTGAGCCATCTTGTGCAGTTGTGTGTCACTACTGATCACTGAAGGAGCTGAATTACTTTCTCTTCTCATTAATCTAGAAAATTATTTTCTGCTGTTCAAGCTGTCAGTGGAGTTTAGAATTACTTATGTGCACTCTTGCCTTCTGTGAGACAAGTACTGCGTTTTCACTAAGGACCAAGCTGTACCCATGCTATTATAGTCTTGTCAGAGAGAAACTGTTCATCTGAGGATGGAAATTGAAATGGTTAACCTGACTCGGTTGATTTGGTGCTTTGTACCAGCAGAACCGTATGGTGATGGTGATTTAAATGGAGATCTCATAAAGCAGTGTATCTAGGTGATTTCTGCCTTGTCTGAATTCATAAAGATATGAATCAAGGTCTGTATCTAATGTATAGCATAACAATCAATCAACTATGTGAGAAGATGTGACCTGTGCTGGGAGAAGTTGTGTGTGGAACGCTTTGCTAGCATAGGGTGGAATCTGGCTGTTTAGGGCTCTTGGCATTTTGAAGTAAGTGAAAATGCTCTGCTAAATATTTACAATCAACTTGATAATTCCTTAATGAAAAGAAACAACACTGTAAATCTCTCTAGAGTTGCAAGAAACTGTTAATGTGGTAGGGTATCTTGCCAATAGGCTATTAGACAGAAGCTGCCTCATTGCAAATCATAATAAAATGCTTTCTTCTGTGGCTGGGTTTAACAAAAGCCAATTCTCTGAAATACATTGCAACTGAACAGCAATTCTGAAAACAAGCAGGATATGTCTATAATGCTTTTCCTAGTCCTGGTCTAATTCTAGTCCAAAGTAACACATTCTGCATGTGTATATTTCTTTCTTTAAGTCCTTTTTACAAGACTGGCAGAACTATTCTTCCTGCCCAGATCACTCGCGTATATTGCAGTACATTCTTAATTAGCTTCTTATCTTCACTGCTAGAAGTGGTTCCAGTCTGTACGACAGATAAGATGATTCTGTGTGATGTTTATGAAATGTTTTGAAAAAGCTCAAGAAGGAAGGGATTGTGTGAAGCAATCCCTCTGGTGAAAGAACATGTAGAAATCTCATTTGCCCATGTAAGTCACTGGAGATAATGAGGAATAAGAGGGATGAGAATAAAAGCAGATGTGATCTGTGAAACTCCATGTGAAATTCTTGCAACTCTGGTTTATTTCAAGCTCTTTCTCTATGAGCCTGTTTTGGATAATATTGATCCCAGGGAGGATTTTCTGCTTGCAAACACAACTGTCCAAAGCTACCAGCAATTGAGTTCCTTATCCTCATCTGAAACTTCCTAATGCTTGGAAGAAGGGGTGGAAAATGGATTTGCATTAGCATTGTGGAGACGACTCTACAGTTAATCTTCTGTGGACAGGAACTAGTAAGTCAGTTGGCTTTACCACTGCAGTAATACTTACTTAAAGGAAAATTTGCTGTCTGTAACCAGACACATGAAAGTAGGTATTTTTCTTTGCTTTTGAATTATTTGTGTTGTGTGCCTGTTTTCCTCAATTGTCATGGCTTTTGTAGTTTGCAATTTCAGTTGACTTTTGCCCCCAGTCACTGAAGCTCTAGAAAGTAATTATTTTCACCATGTGAGCCTTATGAGTTGTAATGTGGCTGGTTACAGTAGGGTCCTAGATCCTGCAAACCTGAGCAAGTTTTGGAGTCAGACCTTGTCTTTGTTAGATTCTACAGGTGGAATACATTTGCTTATCATCATATAAGGAGTTATTTAAAAAAAAAAACCAAAAACTGACTGAAAAATTATTTCAACACTTGGCCTAGGGAGGTTTAGCATACCCTTGTGAATGAACACCTAATAAGCTTACCACCCTGGGCATGTATGCACCTTTAATAATAACTTGCAGTTCTTAACTCATGGAGACTGAGGTGGTTGATGTCTGTGGTTTTAAGAACCTAAGAGGCTGAAACATATTTGAGCTTGTTAGCACAGTTAAGGCTGGTTTAGAAGCACAGTGCTTTGGAGCTGCCTTGAAGCTGTATAGGCATCGTTCTGCTTCCCTTCTCTTTATCTCTGTAGGTAGTTGGATCTCCAGTTGGCTTGAGCTTGGCTATTTATGTGAATAAGCACTTGCAAGATTGAACCTTATTTTGTCATTCTGAGATTTCAGTTCAATACCCTTTGTTTATCTGCAGCTTACTCCTTTGAGTTGGTCTTTCTTTGTGGGAATGCATTCAAGTCATGAATGAGAGTACATATCTCAATATGGTATGAAAGTATATGCGTTCTAGTGCTCAAACTACTGGAACACTTTACACTAGTAGTATGCTAATCAGTAATTAAAATTTATTTTTTCTTCATGATGAAAATGGTATGTGGTATCAGATCTCGGTGTATTGCAAAATGCCAGACTTTCAAATTTTAAAACTTTTTTGTTAAGGAAAACAGTACAAAAGACTGAGTAAGCAAACAGTTGTTCTTTTGTGTTGTGGCAATGCTGAAATCCTTTGCCTTTGTGTACAATAGATGAACTGGGAATGTGTTGTACGTGAAGCCATATAGATTTCAATGTATGTCTTAGGAACACATAACTGCAACTTTTCTGATCAGCAGAACCAGAAAATTATGATCCTTGATGAACGAGAGTCAATTTTTCAGGTTGTCAGCTGTGTTTTCTTTTTTGAAATACGCTGTATGTAAAGCTTAGGTCAGGTTTGCAGGAGCTGACAAACTAGAAAAAAAAAGTCCCAATATGTTGTTCAAGAGTGTTTGTAGATCTGTGGAAAGGCTCATAAGGTCTGTGTTCTGTGTTGCAGTCTGAAGGAACCTCCCCTCCTGACGGGTGTTCTAGAGCCCAATACCAAGTTACGAAAAGCGGAGCGGTTATGGGAAAATCAGCTGGTTGGACCAAAGTCCATTGTCAATATTGGAGGTAAGCACTGGCAAAATAAGCTTTTTGAAGAATAAGTGTCTTTAAATCCTCCTCCACTGATAAGTGTTTGTTCAGCAATATAGCTCTTGGATAATAAACTCTGGAAGCTATTTTGAATATGCAGATTTTTTTATTAAAAATAACTGTTATGCAGGAAAACCTGGCTTCTGTATCTGCTTTTCTTCTCTTTCTCCAGTATAAAATAAATCTTGTTGCCACACTTAGCAATGGAGTCAGGGGCCACTTATGTTTGGAGGAAGTGGTCCCATTTTTCATTTCGTTAGCTCTTAACCGGGTATTAATATCGACAGGGTAATAACTACTCTTTTAATGCCCATTGCCTCTGAGGGAGCTGAGTTTTGTGGTGTTAATTTTTGTTTATATGACAGCAAAAAGATCTCAAATTGATAAATAGTGGTGTTGCATACATTACAGGTGCCATCCTATACTTCTCTCTTATGGCATATGTGCTCTCAAAAAATCACAAACCCATGCTGCCTCTGAGCAGTTTCTTAATGAAGTGCCTCCTGAAGAGGGTAAGGCTGGAAACTACTCCTGACATGGATCCTTAACTCTTTTAATGTGAAAAGGAAAGGATGTGGGTGTTGCAAGCGAGGCCCTTGCCGAAACATCCTTCCGTACAAGAGGTGCTCAGTAGCCATATAATTTATTTTCCTTCTGCTGTTTCTTCTCATAAATTAGTAAAATATTTTTTTTTAATTCTTTTATCCAGCAAGAAACTATGGTAAATTCTTTCCACAGATTACACTTTTTCTACCTATCTCTGTTAACAGTGTGCTAAAGTCATTACCTGAAGCCACTGATTCTTTTCTGTGACCTAGTTTTGTCAGTCTCATTAGAAGCTCTCTAAGGAAACCTTCCTGCAAGGGACAACTGACCTACAGGTGAAATAATCAACCTGACTGGGAATAAGTTTTGTATGTCATCTTATTCCTTTTTAAAAGTGTAATTAGCAAACTTAAAACTTCTGTTAAATTGGAGATGGAAAAGTCCAAGAAATGGAGTCTACTAACTTGATGGTCTTTCATTTAATTTGATTATATGGAAAAGTTTAAAATTTAAGTCTTCCCTCTTCTTTTTGAGTTGGAAGAGTTTGAACCAAATACTCTGATTTGCCTTCATATTTCTCCTTCCCTCTTTATTCTTTTGCTATGGCTGAAGAAGACTCTGTTACTTTACTATATCTTACATGAATTCTGCTTCATGCTAGCAGAAAGATCATGTAGAAGGATGTTCACCACTACAGTTTTGTTATCAAGCTAATCACACCAGTTGTTTTTGCAGATGTGCTGTTTACTGGGACAGCTGATGGGAAGATTATCAAAATTGAAGATGGGGAGGTACAAACACTAGCCAGAATTGGCCATGGTCCTTGTGGTGAGTGACAGTTCCTGAACATAGTGCACCTGAAAATGTCAGGGTCAGGGCTTGTGTGGATTAAAATGGTGTTTTGTCTGGATTGCTCATGCAATTGTAACAAATATTAATATTTGTATGAATGAAGAACGAGTATGAAGATGTATATAAGCACTGGAAAGAACAGCAGAACAAAGGGCCAAAAGAATGGGAATGAGTGTTCTTGATAACAAATGACACTGTTTCCAGCAGTAAAATTTAGGAATGTGGGTTTTTATGTCATGACTGCATGTCATGGCCTGCACTCTTGTAAGGCCGCGGCATGGATGACTTGACAGTAGAAGATCCTGCATCTTAACACTGGCAGGCAGACAGGCTTGAAGTGCATCACAAATAACATTCCTTTTCCTGTTAGTCCATCTAGAAAAAGCATGTGTCCTAAACAAGAAAAAAATGGGCAGCAACCTGGTCTAATATTTATGGAAGCTGAAGTCAGCAAGATTCTGAGGTGAAGGGCCACCCCATAAAAACTGAGGATTCCTAAACAAGTGTGAGTGAATGAACTCTGAGATAATGTGTGAGTGCAAAAGATGTGTGTGTTTTCTCACTGCTGAATTACAGTTATTTCTTGGTGGATTCCACACCTCTTTTTGAACCACTTATTTTCTTAATTTAATGAGATTTCTGGAACTGAGTGAGAAAAACTGTTAGTGGCTTGTTTATTATCAGAACTGTTTCAGTGGGGCAGCTTAATGTTGGTTATCTCAGTACTGCCTGGGCAGTCTGAGAAGCTCGGCTGGTGTTTGTTGGGACTGTGGGTGGTTTTGTTTGCAGTAATGATGTAGAAGCTTACGTGAGATTCTGCAGCCCTGCACTAGTTGCCACTTAGACAGAAAGTATAGGCAGGAACTGTTACTGTCTTCATGTAGCTTATGTTTACACATTCATCATGTCAGCGATGTAATTTTACGTGGATGTTCATGTGATTAGGCTCTGGACAGATTTGGAAGCACTCTCTTGGCAGCCTAACAGGTAGGACAGACTTGGCACTGACAGCCAACCAAGTCTGCTGACAGCTCATAGGAAGCTTGACTTCCACCTGCTGCTGAGGTGTAAATGTGAGTTGGGATGGATGTGAAGAATCACCTTGCCACTGCTCATTTCCTTTGGATTTGTACGGCTTGAGAGAGGTGGGAAGATTATGCTGCCCAGTATCTTTGAGGCCAGAGAGGTTGTGGGGAGCCTAAATTTCTGTCTTGCTCTCCTTGAGTCGGGGAGGGAAGTGGAAAGGCTGTAGCTGACTGCGTTCTCCAGAAGTTTCTCCTGATAATCTTTCAAACTATAGATGTTCTGAAGTTCTTAGTTCTTCAGGACTCAAGTAGACAAATATTTCAGTTTTACAGTATTCCTCTTCCTTCTCTTATAAAAGTCTTCAGTGTTTGTGTCTTGAGAAATCGGCCATTTCATGACAGTGTTGGACACGTCCAGAAAAAGAAAGTTCCTAGATATGCATGTATTTTTAATTTAAATAAGAAAAATAAACCTGCAGTAAAATGGATTATTTCTGAGAAGTATTTAGGAAAATCCAATTTTCTGACATTTAGCCCTACTCCGGCAGCTGTTAGCTAGCTACCAGCCAGACAAATTATATGATTGTCTCTAGACTTGGTGAAAACATGGGGATATGTGTTTCACTCACACCTAGGAAAGTAAGAACAATTTCTTTAATGGATGTGTGTGGTGCTGGCCATAGAATTTTGTTAAGCTACAGTTTGACCTGTGTAAGTAGCCTGAATGCCTTGTATTTATTTCCATTTGGTAAACCATTTAAAAAGGAACCCATGAAGATGAGCCAACCTGTGGAAGACCACTTGGCATCAGAGTGGGGCCAAATAACACCCTTTTTGTGGCAGATGCCTATTATGGACTCTATGAAGTTAATCCTGGTACAGGTATGACGTTTCTGCTCGGAAGTTCTCTTTCACTGACAAATTTAGGCTTCATTTGCAGTTTTGCCAGGCACTGCAGGCAAAACAATGCTTGCCTTCTTTGTAAACTGGTTTGGGGTTTTCTGAATGAAGTATGCCATGCAAGAACTTGATCTTTATTTTCTTGTAGCAGTTACTTCCTCTCTATATCTGTCTGTCTGGATCAGAGATACCAGTGTCTTATCTCCTGGTGACATATGCTTTTGGTTGTCAAAATTGGTACCTCAGAATCCATGAATAAAGCTCAGTGTAGCTGTTTCAGTTTCCGTAACGGGGAAAAAAAAGTTGTGGTTACATAAACTTTTTGTCATGTTTGCTGTACTTTTGCTTCTGCTTTGTTCTTGGTGTGTGGCAGTGGAGAGCTCTTAACTTCCCAGTAACCCCAGTCTGGGGATTGGGGATGTATTTTGGTGCGGCTGAAGATCAAGTGGCTTTGTTCCTGATGAGAAAGGCGCTGTTGCATCATGCTCTTCATTTTATGTTCCCGAGCCAGATCTCGGTTTTAGGAGCTGTGCTGTCAGGAAGCAATAGCTGCTCTCATGTAGAGTTGACTTTCTGACAGTTTACATCTCCAAATTAGCTTCAGCTGGGGAGAGGGAGGCTAGCCAAATGCTAGGTGAGATGTGAGCAAAGGGCTCAGACTGTGTGGCTCTGGAAGGGTATGATCAAGTCCTCTCCCCTCTTGATAACAGACAGCTGCCATATTAGCGTGACAAAACCAAGCAAACCTAAACCCTGTGCCCAAAGTTGACTTCAATATATTTTTGTTACTTTTTAGAGATTTTGCCTTAGTAATTTGCCTGGTAATATGTGGCAGAGCAGTTTAGTTAACATGCTGATGTTTCAATGTTTAGAAAGTACTAATCGTTGTTCCTACAGATTTGTGGGGAATGAGGGGGTAGTGACTGGCTTGCCTGCATCCTTCTACAAGGTTGTAACCTGAGTTTGCACTTAGTTTCATATGAGCTTTAGAAACGTAAGAAGTCTGGCACTTATCAATAGGGAACATCATCTGTGGTTTCAGTTTTCCTAGGAGTATTTTCTCCTGATCATTCATGTTCAGTGTTGAGTTGTTCTGTTACAACCCAAAACCTTATTACTTAACAGAGGCATGAATGGAAAAAATGTGAAGTGCCAGCTAATTTCATGTTAACTGTTGTGTGTGTGTGTGTGTTTTTTTTTCTTTCTTCTTTTTGTAACCAGGTGAAACGAAAATGCTTGTGTCAACCAAAACACTCATTGAAGGTCAGAAGTTGTCATTTGTGAATGATCTTACAGTGACCCGGGATGGGAGGAAAATCTACTTCACTGACTCCAGTAGCAAATGGCAAAGACGAGACTACTTATTCTTGATTATGGAAGGCACAGATGATGGGCGGCAAGTATCTCTTCCCCAAGGCATTTAACTTATTGTAAGCTCAGCTGTAGGAATGGACTTCACCACTTCCTTGGTCTTCTAGTTTTTTCTCTTTATAAACCACCTGTGCAACTGCCCAGGAGAGGGTGGGAGAATATGTGGATGTTGCTAATGAGACCTGCAGTGGAATAAATAAGATTCCTCTTTTTCCTTCAAGAGGACTTGCATGGAACATCTATTTTAAAAGGGAAGGGGTTAGCATTACATTCAGCCTGAATTCTTCATGAATGCTGCCAATTTCAAGTGGCTTAGTATTTCTCCTGTGTTCATAAATAGATGCTTCCTGTCTGTTCTAACTTTTTAACTTAGGTGAAGTGCATGTGAGAGAAGATAGAATGTCTGGAGAATGAAGCCAAGATTAATAAATATTTTTCTTCACTCAAAACCACATCTAATGCTTTCTTTTTAGCCTGCTTGAATATGACACACTAACAAAAGAAGTGAAAGTCTTAATGGTGGGGCTAAGGTTTCCCAACGGTGTCCAGCTCTCCCCTGCGGAAGATTTTGTCCTCGTGCAGGAGACAACCATGGCTAGAATCAGGAGGTGAGTATGACTTTGCTGAAATTATTACTACTCTCTGCTTAGAGGCTGTTTAAATAAATGAGCTGAATGACAACAGAAACCCTACTATTCATGCTTAGTTATTAATGGCAAAGAAGATGGTCTTTCTCAATAATTAATTTTTTTCTTTCACTGAAAACATCTGGACTGCATAGTCTTTCCATTATGGGCTCCTTGAACATAGGGGAGTAAGCTTACTTATTCTGGGGAGAGGAATGTGGCTGTGCTGTATTTCTCTGTACCAAAATAAGGTGTGGGTTTCGTTTGTTTGTTTGTTTGTTTTTTTAAAGTTAAGTCCTTTTGGGACTTCTGATGTATTATTTATTCTGCTTGAGTTAAGATGTCCTAATCCTACTGTCTATAACTTTCAGGTATTATGTATCTGGGCTGATGAAAGGTGGAGCAGATATGTTTGTTGAGAATATGCCTGGTCTTCCACATAATATCAGGTTAAGCAGCTCTGGAGGATATTGGGTAGCTATGTCAGCTGTCCGGCCCAATCCTGGATTTTCTTTGTTGGATTTCTTGTCTGAAAAACCGTGGATTAAAAGGTTGATATTTAAGGTAAAAAAAAAAATAAAATGATTTTTTATAAATCACCTTTAGTATAGTAATGGAAATTATAAATACTTGTTTGTCCTGTTTCTTCCTCTTCACAGGAAGAATTTTAAATTATTTTCAGTGCCATAGATAAAACTGTTGTTGTTGTCCCCAGGTAGAACAGTCCTTATATATTCATAGGTAGTAAAACTAACTTTTGTTTCTCTGAGAAGCAGGTACATATCTCTTAAATTGCCTTCCATCTTGATCTCAGGAAATTAAAAGGGATTATGCAGCAACACAGGATCTACATTTAGATATGTGAGGATTTCACCTTTGTACCCAAAGTACCTAAACTACTTATTGCCAGGTGTCTGGAGAGCATTTGGGAAGTCTGATCTGTTCTAATGACTACCCTAGGCATCCTAGGAGGCAGCACGTTCTGACTCAGTATGTCTGTTGTTATGCCACACCCCCCCTCATGATGAGGGTGAGCAAGATTGAGATATTTTGTAAGGCGATACCTGATGCTAAAGAAATGGCCTGGTGCTTTTTAAACAATACAAAGACTTGCAAATACTTCTATTTTCAAAAAAAGAAAATCAACAAGCAGTGTTTAAGATGGAAGTGCCATTTCAGCTAAACAAACTGTGCAGTCCCCGTAAAACCTGTTGTCTCTACTGGTGTAGTGAAGGAGCCTTAACAGACTGGTGCTATGAGGAGCAGAGCATGATGCCTGCTGCTTGGCATCAGCTGCACCAGAACAAGCTGATGTCTCCTGCATGGACATCCTTTCAGCCTAGTGCTACAGTAGAGTATGCTTCTGCTGGTCTTTTGTTTGAAGTTGACTTTCCAGATGATAGTGTTTTGATGCTGTGTAATAGTGTTTACTCAAAATGTGCGCTTACGTTCTTAGCTGCTGCTTCCAAGGAGTGTGGAATGGTCTAGGACTGTATAAGTGTCTGAGATCTAATTGTGGAGAACAAAAGCTGTTGTTGTTAATTTTCTTCTCACTTTCTTTTTCTTTTAGTTGCTGAGTCAGGAAACGGTGACAAAGTTTGTGCCCAAGTATAGCCTTGTTGTTGAACTTAGCGAGACGGGCTCCTACAGAAGAAGTTTCCATGATCCCAATGGAGTGACGGTGGCTTATGTTAGTGAGGCACATGAGCACAATGGATATCTTTACCTGGGCTCCTTCCGATCTCCATTTATTTGCAGACTTAATCTTCAGCATATTTAACTGCCCATCCATGATAAGTGCCACTGTCCTATAATACTCCAGAGGTATGAAGGAAGTATGCACTTGAGGCAGCGTGTGACCAAGGACACAAAGTGAAAGACAGTTTTAACGTGCAGCAGCACTGTTCTCTGGCCATAGAAAAATGTACAGCCTGCTGTACCTTTCCTCTTCCCTGGTTTGACTGCTCTTGTTTTGGAGTTGGCATGAATAATTATTAATAGCTGAGGAGTATGGTTATGTGCTCCTTAAAGAAAATCCATTGCTTTTTCAGGCCAGCCCTGTTTGGAGTCATCTTAAACAGACATTGTCTATTACCTTTAATGTGACTGTATGTCTTCTTACACTGGAAGGATTTGTGATGTATGGAATTGAACTGTGTATGATTGGAATTGATGAGGAAGTTTTGCATGTGTTGATTTCTGTTTTAGAACCTCCTGTGTAGGAGTGATTACAGTGCTAATGTTCTAATGTCATACCATGGTGCTGTGGTAGAGGCAACAACATCTGGAACATGCCTAGAAATCTAGTTACACCATTTGGGTTTCTTCAATTCCAGCCTGTGTAATCAACATCAGACACTACAATTAACTGTTAATCAACATGCAGAATCAAATTTGATCATTATCTGTGAATTCCTGTCTTTCTTTTTAGCATTGTAGTCAGATGATGAATGAAAGTTGCATTTTTTACGTTATTAAAGACCAGTTCAAGTGGATTTAAAAAGGGTCACTTGTAGTATTTTCTCCATGTTGACCAGATCCTTTAAGTCTCCTGTTCATTATGTAGGTGGTCACTCTGGACAGATGTGGGAGGGAGGAGGACCAGCTGCAGGAATCCTCTTCAGCATGCTTTTTATGGAGCACTGGTAAAGGTTTTGGGGAAGGTTGGAGTCTGAAGATGGATGTGAACTGAAAGGGCCCCTATGAAATCTAGTAATCGTGGATTTTGGTGGAAAATCTTGGAATGTGGTAGTAGCTTAAAGATGCTTTCTTGCATCTCCAGAGGAAATTTCTTTGTTTGTTTACTTTCTTTGTTAACAGATAGTCTGCTTGTTAAATCCAGAGATTGCTTTTCTGTCAATTACTACAAAGGAGAAGCTGTGCTGTTACACTGGAAATAAGAGGGTTTGCATCTTGAAGAATTAAAAGGGTTACTGCAGCGGCTGTGTGATTTACTGGATTGATTCTGTGCTTTGGGATTGAAGACTTTGCTGCTCTCTCTTTTTCTGCCACTGGGTGATAGTCAAACATAAACTTCAGCTACTGATAAATTTCTTCACCTTTGAAAAGAAAATAATCAAGACTTGCTTGATATATAATAAAAAACACCAGAGAAGGTAAAGATGATGTTAAAAATGTCATCTGCTTCCACTGGCCTTTTGTGCTTGTCCTTATTAAAAAAAGGGATATGCAGGTGAAAGTTATTCTTTTCTGTCTGTGCTTCTGTCAGCTTGTTCTGTGTTGCTGCCAGACTGCAGCAGACCTGTGGCAAGTAGCTGATGGTTCCTGAGTCAAGCAGACTTGTTCCTGCACAGGCCAGGGGCTGCAAGCCCATTTGCTTGCTCTGGTGCTTACTAGATTTGGGAGGGGGCTCAGTAAGAGGCAAAAGAAGCCTAGTACATAGATGAATTACTGCAGGCTCTGACCTTTGGTCCAGCTGAACCCTTAATGAGCCCTTAATAGTTTGTGAACAGAGGTGGAGTGATACTGTGGTAAGTCTGAAAGGCAGGATTGGGGACCTGCCTGGACTGGGGACAGACTTGTTGCTGTGGGAACTTTGAAGAAGGGCTGAGAATGGGACATGTTTGCAACATCCCTTTCTGGGGAAACCCAGGACAGGGCAGGCTGATTAAACAGCAGCTGGTTAGCATTAGGGTAATGCCAGCCCTTGAAGCTACTTGTCCCATTCTGGTGGCATATGAAGGTTGAACTTGATAGGATCTTAAATTGGGATTGTAAAAGCAAATCTGCTGTTGGGCTTGTTTTCTGCTGGTGCTTTAGTAGCCTTGGGGCAAGCACAGCTCTGTTACTGCGTAGTTACCTCTAGTGATACATTTGCCAAAGTATCTAACTGAATAACTTGTGCTCTCTCTTGTAGTGATGTAGACCTTGGCTGTTTTGGCATGCCAAATGTGATTCATTTTGTGTGACTTAGTCCCTTTTAAGACACCATTCCTGACGTTATGAAGTGGGAAAGAAAGTAAGTTGTAGTGCTGCTGATGCTCAAGAGGGATGGGATGTATGAAGAGTTGCCGCTTGGGAGTATTTTGGTTCTGATCATTTTTCTACTCTTCCACCCCCTCACTACTTCCTGGCCTCTGTTGGAGACTTTTAACTTAGTACACTGATGATCCTGTGGTCACACAAAAAAGTTCTTGAGTCTTTTTTTAGTTCTGTCTGAGCTCTGTAGTAAGTACAGCAGACTCAGAGGTCGTGTGAGTAACTTGCTTTTCTTGGGGGAAGGGGAAGGACCATGCCAAATATGAGAGGTATCTAACAGAGTGTGGCTTTGTCAGGTGTGACTTCTGAGCGGTGTAGTCCAAACTGTCAGACAGTGGCTGGGTAGAAGTATCTCAGGGGTAGGTGCAAGAAGATTGGAAATGGTTAATCATGGCAGAACTGAAGCCCAGAAGCAGCTTCCCCTAGCCTGAAGATAGATAATGCGTTTATTCACTAGGACTGTTGCCTTTGGAGCTCTTCCCTTAATCCTGTGGTAGCAGGAAGCATTGTTCTGCCATGTGCTGCAGTCAGGAGAGTAGGCTGGATGCTATGAAGATGTTGCAGCTGTCTGCACAAGAGTCTTCCTATGGGGAGCAACTTGCTTATGAAATCCAGCAAGTCAGTGGTGAAGGTTGGTGCTGTGGCACAGAGGAAGCTGAGCTGATGCCTTGGGCATGGGTTCTTTGTTGGCTCTGGCATCTCATGGAAGTTCAGTCACTATTTCTCTTTTCTGGCTGGTGGTGTGGGTTCTTTGCTGAGTGGACCTCTCCAGCTGTGCCAAGTGGACCCTTAGTTACGGCTACATTAGAAAAAAACTGCAGGCAGTAAAAAGGTAGGCTCTGCATTGACGGCAGGAGGTGAATTCTGGGAGTAGGGTTCAGAGGGAAGTGGGAATTTGTGCCCATAAAAGTTTTTGTAGTTTCTGATGTCTTGCCCTGTCTGTTGTGGTGTCTGCCGCGGGCAATAGAAATTTTTCATTGTTCTTGTCTGCTTCGTTGGGAAGTAGCTGAGTAGCTGTCAGTCTAAATGAGTTTGTCTAAAGGTTAAGCCTTTGGACAGAGTGTGCAGCTCTTCTCAATTTAATTTCTCAGAATTGAATAAAGCCTCCCTGTCCAGACTCTACAAATTCCTCTACAAATTGTTCCTGTTCACTAGGAACAGGTCCAGTCAGTCAGCTGTTCCTGTCAAAAAATAAAGACCACTGAATTCTGTAAAGCACCAAATGTAAACTGTGGTAAGTGGCACAACTTATTATCATTCTAAGCAACAAACTTTGCATGGTGACAGGCTGCTTAACCAGGCCATGGGTGTTTCATTTGTCATAAGAACCCTAACATTTCATTTTAGCTGGAGCTTTATGGACATAAATATGGGTCAGTCTTTTCCTCAGAGGGAGGTGATCTGGCTGTCTCCTGAAGCTTGTCTGCAAGGTTTTTCAGTGCTTTGCTTGGCCCTGCAAGTCAGAGCTTAGCCTGAAGCAGAGTGGGATGGTAGCACGTGAGGCACCAAGGCCTAGGAGAAAATCAGTATGTTTGATGCTTCCTGGTGAGTGAGGTGTCTGGGCAGAGACTGCCAGTGCCTCCATGGCTGCTAAAATTGAAAGGAGGGCTATTACTATCTTGATGGCAGCAACACTGGTGAGGGACTAGGGTGGAACTGCAGTACCAGGTACAGGTGTCATTGTGCAGTCTAAGGATCTTATGATGGGTATCTGAATGCAGGGTCAGTATACCTCCAGTCCAAGGAGACCCAAAGTCTGCAGAGCCTGAAAGGAGTACCTTTCCTGAGCTCAGGTGGTGTTGGCTCCTATTCCTGGTGCTGTGCTGGATCCTGATAGTCCATCTTTTTTATGCAAAAGTGTGGGGGGGTCTGCTGTAGAGCCCCAGTGAAAAAAGTACACTGACATACAGCTCTTAGATTAGTAAGCATAACGTGGTTAAGACCAGTATTTTCATAGAAGCTCAGGTGCTTATAATCCCTGACCCTCAAATGCAATCATCCCAAAGTGATGCAGCAGCATTAAAATGCCTGTGGAATGAACTGGCAGAGACTCCTCCTGGTGCTCCTGTGATGACTGCTTTTAAGGGCTCGTTCTGGTTCCAGAGAAGTGTGAGTCAGTGGCATGGTGCAGTTTCAGATGGATGGTGACGCATCCGCCTTGAGCAACGGGGAAAACTGGAACAAGTCAGGCTTGGAAGAAAACGGTTCTGTCTTCTTGTTTGATGGTTTCAGTGCAGGAACATGACTCCTGTGCAGCTCTGAGGCTGGCTGTTCTCTAGTGTGGAGACATTGCCCAGACTGGAAGAAGCAGGAGCATTTAGAGCAATATTTGAAGATCCTGTCAGGGCAAGATTGGGTATTTTTATGTCAGGAGAAAGGGACTGTGGTTCCCTAAGAAGGGAGGAAACCCTCTCTGCACAACTCCCAGAGGAGTCTGAGGGTGCTTCCTGTGTCTTATGCAGTCTTTTGGGACAGACTGGCATGTGGGAGAACAGTGCCTTGTCCCCTGAAGGGCTTGGGGAAAGCTTTGCTTTAGTGTAAAGCCCTGCAGTAAAACAGCCTAAGGAAAAGGAACTGAGCTGGAGTATGCCACAGCTGTGCATTTTAAAGATATGTTTTGTTTTGTTGTCTTGGTGGAACAGATGTTTCTGCAGGGCACAAGTATCAAGAAGATTTTGGTGAAGCTATTTAAAATGCTATTCCACAGATAACTGCCCTGTCCCTTTTCTGGAGCAAACTTCTCCTGTAGTAGAGCTGCTGGATGAGAACTCATGTATGCCCCTCACACTTCTGTGCAAAGGTTGGTATCAGTGTAAACAGCTGATGAAAGTGTTTGCAAAGCCTTGGCATAAATCCGATTCCCTTAAATCTGAGTCTGCTTTGTGGCAGCAACCTTTGCAGATGAGATAATGACCTTGTAAGCTTCGGGGTCTGTCTGCTCATGACAGAGATCAGATGATGCTGGCACTTGGACCTTCTCATCTAACTTGCTTGGAAAACAGAGTGCTGTAAAAGAATAAACACACAGGGCAGCTCATTTTTGCTGCTTTGTTTGAGGTAGGAACTAAAAAATTTAGCAATAAGTGATTGCAGTTAGGTATATACAAGCCTTTTTTTTTTTCCTCCCAGCCAGTAGAAATCATGTGTCCTTATCCAGCTGCTGCCATTTAAACCTTGTCTTGGTTCTGTGCAGCTGCATGCATGACTCCCTCCGCTGTCAGTGGGTCCTGGAAGTCAGTCGGTTTGTGAGATTGGTATTGGTACAACTGGTATTGAAAGGCCTTTCAGGTCCTTAATGTAGAGCTGCTGATATGAAAAGAATGTGAAGTGGGAAGTCAGCAATGCTATGTATTTTGGTGGCAGTTTGTTTCCTGTGCAATTTAAAAAATGGGAGTGTGTGAGGAAATATTTGCATAGCAAAGGTTGTGTGCAAGTGCAGATCTCTGAGGATCCCTGGGCACTGTGGAGCTCTAGTGAAACACAGGCGAGCTTGGATTGAGCAGCACTAGGTGCATGGAGGTCTCCTCAGTGTGCATCCAGTTCCTCCATGTGGCAGACTGTCAGGGAACTCTTGTTCAGGTGAGGCCAAGTGTCTTCATAAGCAGATGAGCCAAGAAAATACGTCATGCACTGAGCCCAGTGCTTCTAGCACACTGGAGAGAGATCTGAAGCCGAAGGAAGCTGCTCCTCTGACTGGTTTATAGCACTCCCGCATGAACCTGTATCTCTGAAGCACCAGCTTTGGATTAAGGTCTCGGAAGCACTTAAGGTCACTGCTGGGATTGTTCCTTTTTCTCCAGCATCTGGGGTTAAGAGGAACAACTTTCCCTTCTCTCCTTATGCCCTAAATCTTTACTAGAAATACTTATTTTATTTAATTGCCTTTGTAGCCTGGAATAGATGTCAGAGCCTCGGCAAGGGTATGAACTCCCTGGAGTGAACTGTTGAACAGTTAAAATTGTGAATTCTAGCAAAGATGCAGAAGGCAGAGACGTCAGCTTTTTGAATGCTGCATGTTGTTGTGATAAAATGGTACTTGGCTGCAATTCTTTAGGTCAGTGCTAGCAGTGACCTCCTCATGCAATACTTTTTAATTGCCCAAATCTTTCCTCAACAAGTGCTCTGGAGCGGTACAAAATGCTCAGTTAACTTTAGCTCTGCTCCTTTCTTTGGTGCTTGTGGTAACTCTGTTATCCACCTGGAGGGATGATGGATGCTGCTATTCCAGGGTGCCTTTCCTATTGTAATGTTATGGTAACCACTTTGTAGCAGCTGTAAACATATTTTCCTTGAGAAAGCAGCAAGAGCATGTTGGGTTTGTCAGCCTGCATGGTGCCAGGTTTGCCTGGCTTTAACTTCCGTTTCTTTGACAAATGCGGAATTGACTCAGCGAGGAGACTAAGATGAAGCCCTTTATGCCAGGGGAGACTGGTGGTGTGCTTACTGCCCGAGATTTGGAAAGCAGCGCCTTCTGTCTCTTCTTGCCCCCTTAGAAACCTAGCTGCACCTTTCCTGCTTTATGGACAACTCGAGCCACCACAGTTGGCTTGCTTTTTCCTTGTCTTTGGCATCAGGCTGTCAAGAGTGGCTTGTGTGTTGGCTGAATGTTGCACCACACTACATCCATCTCTGGCCCTTCTGGAAGTTTCTTTTGAGCCCGCCCTTTTTCCAGCTGAGAGACTGCTGTCCGCAAAGATAAGATGCAGCACAGCTGCCTCTCCAGAAGTGAATGCTGAATTTGAACTTCTGCTGGGCCATCTGCTCATCACAGCTTAAGCGTCTGAAGCAGAACTTGAGACTTGCCCAGCCTGCAAGGATTTGCTGTGGGATTACTTGGAGCAGAGACTTCAGCTATGCTGTTAATAGATCTGTCTTAAGATCCCTGGACCTTGGCCTGGAGCCCTTCCCTGGCCTTTCTTGACTGAATGGTTGTTACCAAGGCTGAAAGCGGAGGTGTGACTGCTAATAGGAGTTGCAATATTGCTGCAGAAAGGCAGCAGCTATCAGAAGAAAAGGGGTGTTTGTGGAAAGAAAGTGTTCTTGATAGCTTAGGGCAGGGCCATACCCATTTATAAGTGCTGGTCTGTGTATGACTGAATATGGACCTTGACTTTATTGCTTGTTTTATGGATGCAGTTACCCAAATCCTTGCAAATAAGGGCCTTAGTCCACTGTAAGCAATAATCTGCCCATGCATGAAGGGTGAAGGCTGAAGGAATGGTATCACCTAGAGGAGACCATCATTCCACTAAACTTGAATGTAAGCTGTGGTCAGCCAGAGAGTCAGTGTCTTATACTAACCTGAATTAAACTACATTGTTCAATCTCAGCCAAAAAAAAAACCAACAAAAAAAACCAAACCAAAACCAAACCTGCTTTGGCAAGATGATTTGGTTTATTTGTCTTGGCATTTGATGCTCTTTCATAGTATAGATCAGTTTTTTATGAAAGTAGAAGTACTAGTTAGACTGTCATTTCTGGGCTGTGGGTGTGTTTCAAGACAGCCCTATCCGTACTTTTGAAGAAAGAACAACTCTACCTCAGGCATTCCTGATAGATATGTCTAACCTTTTCTCTAGCACTGGAGACTCGTAAGACTTTTTGCGTGTGTGTACCCCCAGGCAAAGTATCACATTGTTGTAAAGCTTTCCTCAGTGTTGTAGTCACATGTGCTATGGATTAGACTTGAGCTGTGTGAAGACTGATAACAGAATAAAGCAAGTCCAGTAGAGCTGCTTGCATGTGTTCACACTGCTTGGAAATTTCAGCCAGAGGGTGGATGGCTCTCTACTGAATGAATGACAGCACGCTCTCATCTGCAGTTTAGTTTTGGAAAAACAAACATACAACTGGATAGCAATAAATTCAGTCAAGGCATGTCTCTTCTTTGTCACTCAGATTTTGAACATCTTTCTTAGACAACCAAGCATGTGCTTTGAGAGAAAAGCTCTGTGATGATTCTGTACAATCATTCCCCACTTTGGTTTTGGCCTCAACAGTCCAGACAAGGACAAACTGATGGTGATAGATCCTCTGCAAGTCAGGCTCTCATGGGTGAAGGTGAGTCAGTGGCAGAGAGCAACGGGGACATGAGCTTTATGTAACCAAGGCATTATCCAGACCTCAAAATAGCATCTCAGCATCTGCAAATAAAAGGGGAATTGGTGGTGAAGTTCAGGTGGCAGTCGGTTGGGCCATGATGGGGTAGGAGTGAACAGCATCTCTTTGTCTGCCCCCTTTATCCTGGGATAAGTACTGTTTGCCAAGTAATCGTATCTTAGTGGGGAAGTCCCTGTGAGGATTTCCCCCTCCCAGGAAGTCTTTATTTAGCACCAACTCTGTTTCTGCACAATTCCACTCCTTTATCCAGGAATATGGCCTGGATGCCTGTGTCTGGTTCATCCCCTTGCAGATGGGAGCTGGCCCTGAATGCATGAGAGGTACTATGCTGCTTATACTGGTAACATTGCCTCACCGCAGCTGGCTCTGCACAGAGGAGGCTTGTACCTCTGTGGGGACATGGCAGAGCTGGTCTGAAGGTCACTATACAGCCAGATGGCCAGAAATCACCTGCAGTTACTGGACACCCCAAAAGAGTTGGACAGATACCTGTTGCAGATTTTTTTTCCTCTGGAAGTGACAGCTGTCCAGGCTGGAGTGCTCCCTCTTCTCACAGACAGTGCGTCTGATTTCCACATGGAGCATGTACTTCAGCCCTCTGACAATCTAGAGAAAGTAGTTTCCTCCTTTAAAGTGAAGGTAGGGGAAAGGAATGCTAAAATTGTGGCTAGGAATCATGTGCTACATCTGTGAATTGTGTGTGGTAGTGTGGATACAAGGGTTTTGTATTGAATTACTAGGGCAGGACACGGGGGAGCCCTCCTGTGGAGCAGTTGAATGGGATAGAGGAACATGTGCTGTATATCTTTGGACAATTATAGCAGTCCTGAGGAGGATCAGGGCTCCCATGTCTCTGTAGGGTCAATTGGTAAATGGTTTGGAGGAACACCAGCAGTCTGGGCTCTTCTTACCTGTACCATGGCTTTGTTTATTTGTGATTCCTTAAACAGAAAGAGGTCATTTGAACTGTTGTTGTATCTGTAAACCCCAAAGCGAGCTGCCTTGCGAACACCAGGGTTGTCTGTGTTCATCGGGACAGGGGAGCCAGGTTTCACAGTTGGGTGAGGTGGTGGTACGTCTGTAGCTGAAACAACACAAAACATGAGTGCAAAACACATCAGGTGCTTGAAATGGTGGGAGCTTCAGCCCTCTGAAACAACGCTAAACCTTCTTACTTGTCCCATGCACTTGTGCTTCAGAAGGACTCTGCTCACATCCATTACAAAGTAATTTTCCTTTGTATGTCTGAAATGGTGAAACAATCCTGTGGAATGAAGTGACAGAAAAAGATGCGCTAGAAATGGTAGCAGAGCTCAAACTGACTTATTAAGAACATCTCTGGTATGATTCCTGGCTCATAGAAGGCCCAGCCTTGAATCTAGATATAAAGCTAGCTCACATTGCTCAGAATACAGTATAATTTTGAGAGCCCTGCTGCTCTTCGTTGGCATGCCAAGTT